GGGAGTTGCGGCTGGTTCGAGTTGAGGTTTTGTTGTGAACTTTAGAGTGTTGTGTGCTCGGGGAGGGAAGATCTATAGACGCGAACGGATTACACCAACAGATAAAACAAGGACTGAACGAAAGGTCATATCGAAGGAGGTACGCGGTCGGGTCGATGTTTGGTAATGTGTACGTGACTGTCACGTGGACTGATCACAGTTAATGAACCAGTAGTCTTACGAACTGCGACTAGGGTTATGACAACGATTGATTTCAGTTCATTTAAGGTCAAAATTGGGATTATTTGAGCAATAACGCGATAATCACAATGTGAGAACATACACATAGACAGAACAACCGCGTGCTGAGCGGATCGTTTACTGAGTGAATGAGCACATCTAATGAAATGAATCAATGAGCTTACAGCGAAACACCCGTGAGCTAAAGTCACTAGTAGAAAACCGGACAGAACAAATATGCTGTGGAGTATCGGTAGGTGTTTGTACGCATGCATTTATGTGTAGTGAAGGCTAGATACCTGTCCGTTCGCATAGGTAAAAGATTTACATTACTGATAATGTGATAAAGATAAGTCTCAGAGCAATCAGTCCCTCGTGATAAGTTTTGCTGGCTCGGTATCAAACGGCTCATATTCGGTTTTCGACGCTCGTGGAAAACGGTGATGGAATGAAACAGAACTATGCTACTTATGCTCTCTCACAGTCAGTACGTTCTCACAATTAGACGATACAGACTATCTGTGAACCGATCTAGGTGTCTGGATGTTTCCTCGCCGTATGGATAAGCTGTGCTTAACCCTTCTGGAAACATTTCAGCTCCTATTCAATAGCGATATAAACCCTAGCGGAGAAACATTAGCCAAATACTGGGACAATATTCTTAACTGTTCCGTGACTCGTAAAATCCAGCAGATATTCCTTAGATGTCCTCGACCTAAAGCTCTTATCTATTCGCTTGCAATGGTACAAATCAGTGTTTTATCACAATGGATGTAGATTTCCCGGTGACTGTTCATGGTTTGGTGACAAGACGATAGCACTCAAATATGTGTGCATATATTATGGTTTGCCTAGGGTTCATAGCACCAATCACATTGTCTTTCAGAACACCATAGCTTGTGATAAGCTTGCCCATGAGATAATGCTCGATTCGATCTGTATTCCACATCGAATATGTATTTTTATCTGTTCCATTCATCGCAACCACGAACCGTTTTATGCAAGCAAAAAGAAAATAGACCAACTCTAGGTGGGCATGTATATTGCTCAATTTCTATAACATCTGTCTTTTTGTGATTTATGTACAGCACTGAGTGAAGTTCGAATTTTTAATCCATTAGGTTGCCCTTCAATTATCATTTGTTCGATATTTTCCGGTTGAATTTGCATCAGACGGAGCGGAGTTGTGATGAGGGCAATTTATTGACTTACTATCAACGGAATTCCAAACGCTGTCCGACATCAAGCATTGGATTGAGCACTACTTCCAATGCCTTCGAAGGCTTCAGTATGGTCGGGGTAAGGTTGGATAGTGGCTGCGCATCCTTTCCTTGCATCTCGTGAAATGCTCGCATTAGACTAAGCGTCTCAAATAACCTCTGCTAAGAAAGCCCTACTTACTGCCTTCTCGTGACGGAGGTGTTTTACAACCAAAGTGACAAGACGAAAAGCCGATATCCGGAGCTATAACCCGGTTGATGGACCACTGGTAGTTCACCTAGGGGAGTTGGCTAAAAACCCTAATTTCAAACCAATCAAGAGGAGGCGTTCGAATCACACACATCTTGGTCACGGTAGTGGAATGGAAGTGTGTTGGGCACCTTGGACGTTTGACTCCGTCTGAAGGACATACGATCCGATGAACTGGACACCGGCCCCCAATTGATTGCGGTTTTCACACACCACCTTGCGCGTCAGACTTTGGTTAGTCGAAGGATCCGGTTGTGAATTCTCCAAAAAAATTCACCTACCTTGGCCTTTGAAACCTAGCAGTACCGCGCCCTCGAACCAATCACGAACGTTGGTTCCTTTTATAAACATCATTGTACAGTGATTTGTTTGGCACACAGTCTGAAAAGATATACTATAATATATACAAGCCTCCTGAGGTGATGAACCGTTGTCGAGCCTGACTTTTGCCTCGAAGAAGTTCGTGTTTCTTCTGCACCATCTAAGATCAAATTCATCATGAAACCACTTCCCCCTTCTTCAAACCGCTCTGAGGCTTCTCATTGTGATCGCTCAACATCCAACCAGCGTTTCAAAGTGACATCCTTTCCTTATACCATCATGAATCGAATTCAATTTCCCGATTCTCTTACTTAAACAAGTTCGAAAATGATGATAGTGATGACAGGGTATTGCATGAAGTTCAATGGATAAGGTTAGTTTTAGCTAATTAGACTGAACAACTGGATGCTTTTGTTCTCGAGGAAATCCAGTTTTACTCGTGATTAGACCGCAAACCGAAACTATGGCAAATGAATACATTGGCTGCTGAGGCGTCATAGGTTAACTTGATATATTCCAAAGAATAGAACAGCTGAACGGAATCCGGTAAAGAAAGGTTTCCGGGAAATTTTGAAGGGTATTCGAATCCGTAATTTCGCACAGAGTCTTGTGAACGAACCATGGGGTCTTGTTTCCATCGCGATTTGCAATCACGTGATGGATACAGCATCAACTACTTGGTCACGAAAACAGTATCACGTTAACTGTGCAATCCCTGATCTAGTTCGACATCCGATTATTTCCTCAAACAAAATGCCCGTACCAAATAAGCCGAAACAGACACTCACCTATAATCGGCCAACGTGCGGAAGTAGGATACATGCCCTGTTTGTGTCAGATTTTCACCGGTCCGTGAACAGACTTCCAACTGACGCAAACGTTTGGGTCGACCGCCCGTGGCGAGCAAACAACGCTCATAGGTGATCTGACGTCCAGAGGCCAGTGTAACCATATGTTTGTCCGGGTCCAGTCGAACAACCGGATCGCCACGGAGCAACGAGACACCACCGTACTCAACTGTATTTAACCTTTGTTTGAACGAAATGAAAAGATAGAAATCATTTTCGCAAACGCGATGGTACAGTACTTGAGAATGATTTCAGAATTTCGAGGAGCAGGAATACACTACATGATTCACATTGGGTACAACAACAGGTGAACAGAAGTGTTCTCAGACAGGTCACATTTATGCACAACAAATTGAACCGGATAAAAAATTTGATTATGTGAAAGGAAGATGGGCAATCTGATGATAATACGTATTTCAAGGCTCGAAAAAATCGGGCAGAAACAGGTGCAGTCGGATGGATACGCTTTTAGACACAAGTGAGCTAGGTGTGGTGGCTACATAGTATGTATCCATCAATTGGAAAGCGCAGAAACAGCAGACATTCAACAATAGTTAATCGCTGTATATATATTCATCGTTTTTTTAATGAGGCACGGGATTTCAACAGGTAGGCTGTACAACATTTGCGCCACTTCTATTCTGAGTCATATCTTTCAGCGTCTCTAACCGAAGATAATTCTCATCTCTTGGGCCCCAACCTGGAAGGCGAGCTGCACCAACCGAAGCCAAAGCTGAGACCAGCTTCTCCATACCTCTACGCCATGTCATGGTCTGACCGCCGCGGCACTTCTTCCAGCCTTGACCGGCACATGTAAAGAGAGCACAGAAGGGTAGTCGATGGGCCGGCATATGCAATACATGACTAAGCCATCGGAGGCGATGTAGATCGATTACTTCTAGTAGAGAACGACTATCCACATCCAACACATGAAGACGAACCTCATCATTGCTCCCCTCAATCTTGCTACCAGACAAGAGCAATGCTTCCAACGCAGTGTGCATTGTAGTTACCTCATTTACATGAAAAGCAAGAGGGCTGTGTGCATCTGTGTTAGTAAACCAAAAGAGGGATTCAAGCGAACACCTCACAACAGGGACATTTCGATGTGTCTTTTAAAATGCAAACCACCTGTACGAGCCAGAAGTAATGTCTACACCATGCATCACATCATGAATTACGAGCGTTTGACCTAACGGAAAACAATTATTCTTATTGGAAATGTGGTCAGGCGTACGTTGATGGTCAAGGAGCACGTATAAATTAGTGCAAACACAACAGTGAGAGAAAGAGGACTTTGCCGATCAAAGGAAATGAAAGATTACCGTTAGGAAATAGAATTTGGAAATACGATCACCGGGACTTGGCGAGTAGGGACTACTGAAAGTTCTTATCAAACAATAGTAACACTGAACCAAATGTTAGCGAGGCTAACCCCGCCAGTTGCTGTTCTTGAGCGGCAAAACGAACAAGCCACATTGCCTCAATGATTTACAGTTCGNTTCAGTTATTGGAACTAGTGGCCTAGGCCGTGAGATTTGTAGCAACGAAGTACATTAGGATGTGATGGGATAGGTGTGGTAACGAGGCAAAAAACAGGGAGCATATCTGCCACCAATATCCGGAGGCGGTGGCGGAGTTCCATCCTCTAACATAAGCGTGGGAAGCACGAAAGTAACAGCCACTCAGATCACTTTATAGCACTCGCCGAGTGCTTTTACGAAGCAGTAAGTTAACATATATCAGGTAAAGATATCACCAAAGCTACGATGAGCGATTACTGAAGCGTCGCAAGTCTTCTGTAAGTCTCGCGGGATGTCAACAATGCGTAACTGGTATGAAGGAGCGCATAGAACCCATCACGCCGCGCATGAGTCCGCGTCACATCACAAGCGAGCTCGTGACGCCTAAGGCCAACCGATCCCGGGTTGGATAACTAGGACGAATCATCCGATCGACCTATCGGAGTGTCAAGGATGCGATCTGATTGGTGCGTCACCACGTCGTTCTCATACACCTAATTTGCTCTATGTTGGCGTGTTGCGTCATAAGCACGGAATACACTCTGACTGCTGTTCTCCGATGGTGTTCCCTCTTCCGTAACACTGTTGGGAGCTAGGCAAGAGGCGCTCGTATCGATCGTAGATCAAACCTAGAACATAACAGTAACTTTTTAATTGTCATGACAACACATTGAAAACCCTTTTGAATGACCGATTTTCCCTCTTGAAAATTGTCTTCTCAGGAAAAGGAATTGAAATCATTAGTAGTAGTGATGGTAATTAATGGTGTGAGCAATAGTAGTATCAGCTACATGGATTCACTTACTCTTCAGGTTTAAGGAAGAAACTCTCCGCTTCGTAGTACAGCCAAGAATGTCTTCGAATGTCACCCGTAGTTTGCAACAGACGAGCCTCGCGTTCCTTGTTTCGCCGCCATAATTCCTTACTTAATGGAGGTCTCAAATACGGTGGTGGCTCTACTTGATTGGTTTCGGGGATTCCGGGCTCCGCGTAGTCCGATGGTCCCGTGCCACCCGCGACCATTAGGACGCGTGACATCGGGTCTGCTGCACGGATGGCCCGGGCACAGGACAGACCGGCAGTTCCAGAACCGATTACCAGATAGCGCACTTTGGTTGGGAATCCAGCGTGTTCTGGATTGATATACTGCAGATCTGAGGAATTTGTGAAAAAACGGGATTAGAAAGGAGAATAACTGGTGAAGACATCTGTATCTCGTTCAAACTCGCGATCTATCACCACAATGACCATCATTACCGTGAAGCAGAATACAAAAATAAGTCTGTTTTATTTAGTATCGGGTCAGATTCAGACAACTCGGTGATGTTAACAGAGATTCGAAATTTGTCTCGCTTTATTTCGGAAGGGGGGGGGGCGGAGGGGGAGGGGAGGAGAGAGGTCACCTGTCAAGCGGAAGAAACTTCATCAGCATTGCCGACGACAGTCCACCATTTGTTGTTCCGGATTGCAATGCTCATCTGTTCACGGTAAGTGGCGTTCTTTTATCCGCAGCCTGGATGGGAAAAATAACATTTTCACTGACCTTAGACTTCCAGTAGCCTCTAGTTTCCGTGTACCCCACG